CGGAGCGGCAAAAAGTCTTGCATCGGAAGGAATTTGGCCAGCATTGATGGAAGCTGCGGGAAAATGGCAGTTAATGACTGCACTGGCAGCTGTTGTGTGAAATCACGATTGGGCCCATTGCCCTCGTCAGCCACCCCGTCCATGTCCTCGACCTCCATGAGCGCATCGCGCGGGTGCAGACTCATGCGGGCGTCGTGGACGAAGTCGTCGAACTCCGCATCAAAGGGAAGGGATGCTGGATCACTGGGGGGCCACTCGCGACTTTGCGCTTGCGGCACGCCATCGGCAACATCCACAAACTCCAGGTATTCCAGCAACCTCTCTTCGCTAAGCTCTCCTTCGTCAGCAACGCAGGAGCCGACACCACAGTTCCCCATGAGGCTTGGGAGTTCTAAGCCTGCTAAGCCACTGAGTAGAACGGGGCTGGGCGATGTTTGCGATGCAGCGGTTGTGGTACACTTTGGGCCTTGGATGCCTTCAGAACCAGGTTAGGGTTTAGGGTTTAGGGTTTTGGGACCCTAAAAGGAAGTTGTCGAAGCCTACCACTATCTACCACTGCAAGACTGCTTGAGAGGGCGGAAGGAAACGGCTTACGGCTCCGACAGATCGGCAGGCAAATCCTTCAACACCCTTGAGTCCGCAGTTCAGGACACGAGCTTTTTCCATGAACCGACCTATACTTTACTCACTCTCAGAAGCTCAAACCAACTTCGTCCGAAGCTCTTCTCGCTGTCTTGGAGACCTCGTCTGAGACCCTAAAACCCTAAAGGCCCTAAACCCTAAAGGCCCTAAAGGCCCTAAAGGCCCTAAACCCTAAAGGCCCTAAAGGCCCTAAACTTCGTGCCTTTGTCACTCGCTCTCCCTGGCTCTCGCTCTGTGCCGAGGCCTCGCCTCGCTCACAGGCGGCTGCCTGCGCCCCCCAGGTCGACGCGCCTGGGGGCTGCTGCGGTTTAGGGCTTAGGGTTTAGGGTTTAGGGTTTAGGGTTTGGGGTTTAGGGTTTAGGGTTTAGGGTTTGGGGTTTAGGGTTTAAGGGTTTACGGTTCAAGGTTTGGGGTTTAGGGGTTTAGGGCTTAGGGTTCAAGGTTTGGGGCTTAGGGCTTGAAGCTTTCAGGTCTAAGGTTTGAAGCTTTAGGTTTTGAGGCTCTCGGGGTTTAGGGCAGGGTTTAGGGTTTAGGGTTTAGGGTTTAGGGTTTAGGGTTTAGGGTTTAGGGTTTAGGGTTTAGGGCCCGTCGGTGTGCGTCTCTTGGGCACGGGCTGGGCGCAATTCCCCGGCGAAGCATTTCCTGGACGAGGTCTAAGCTCACCTGAGCCAAGGTCCGATGTTCGAGCGACTATTCGCATCACTATTATTATTGCAACTATTGCTGTTAGTATTATTCACCTTATGATTATGGTTGTTGCTGATACATTTATTGCTATTATAAACATTACTTTCTTTACGCTTGTTGCTATTACTATTTGCACTTGGTCTCTCCATTCAATTTCTCCTTGCTGTGCGGGGGGTCTCCTCAGTGGTTTCGAAAAGTTGCCGCCGGGTCAACAGGGGCTTTCAAGGTTCATGATACAAGATAGTGTTTTTTTGAGGACCTTTTGGATGTCCGCCAGTACAAGATAGGGTTTAGGGTTTAGGGTTTAGGATAGTTCCACAGATCCTAAACCCTAAACCCTCATTGCCCCTGGCTTGCCTTCCACTGCCGCCCCCGGGCACAAGCCGTTGCTGTCGCATTGAAGGTGATGATGTTCGCATTGCTTCCTGGGGAAAGGTTCCTATTCATCAGGGATACTTTGATACTCTAACTGCTCTAACTATCACACTACAATACTGAGACACTAGAATACGTCTAAGAACTACTGCTATAAAGCTGTTGAGCGGGAAGAGTTTTCAGCTGCTCCGACGTTCGGGTCTGTGGAAAGCTCTGGGAGATCCTGTAACCCCGGCTGGGCCTCAAGCCACTCTCCGCAAGCAACTGCACCGCCTGGGGCCACGCTGCAGCCTTGGCGCGTATCTTACTCTATCTCAGCAATAGATGGGTGAATCACTGAATTACGGGCCGACGTCGAGAACAAGCTACAATCTCAGGCATTTAGGGTTTAGGGTTTAGGGTTTAGGGCATGTAACAGAAGGCCTGCACCATCTGGGCAAAGGTGTCTTTTGTCCCAAGGGTCGCAGCATCCGTACGTCAGCCCAGGCCAAGCAAGTCGACCTCGGAAAGTCGTGTTTAGGGTTTAGGGTTTAGGGTTTAGGGATCAGGGAGGGCATCCGGAGAAGGGACTTGCAACCTGTCAGTGGCAGTTTCGGTCGTGAAACAAGTTTCTTCATGTTCGAAACCCAAACCCCAACAAGCCCATTGAACCGCCAATCGTCTGACCATCCAGCCAGGGACGCGCATGAAACCATCCCGCGCTCGAACACCCTAAACCCCAACACCCCCAAAAAGGCCTATGTACACCCAAAAACTGCAGAAACCCTAAACCCTAAACCCTAAACCCCCACACCCCCTAAAGGCCTATGTAAACCCCAAAAACTGCAGACCGACGGAGTCTCCCTCGCATGTGGGAGTTTATTTTGGGGTCCTAATAGGGATCCTATTATTTAGGGTACTATATTAGGGTCCCCTATTTTCGGAGAAACCCCCATATACAACTAACCCTGAACCCTCGAACCATTATTATAAGGACCCAAAAAGGGACCATAATTTTGACAACCA